CAGACTCGGATTAGTTTACTTGAATTTAGCGTTCAGTACAGCGAACGGGGTTATGTTCTCTGAAATGTATCTACAGTCTGCGGCCCACATCATCACTGATCCACGATTTATTTATTTATTTTATTTTCCAAGTTCGTTTTAACCGATCCTTGATCCCTGATTTCTCGATCCTCGATCCTCGATCCTGATTTTCCAGTAAACCTTGAAGTTTTGCTCATTAAGATTATTCTTTTTTTTTTTTCGACCACTGAAGTTATCAGTTGTTCCAAAATAATCAACGCTTTCAAGCCATAGAATTCTTGGACCAACCCGTTCCGGAAAAGCTCGATATGGGATTTCTATTAACTATGGACATGAAGTGCTGCAAGTAGAGTGTGCGGTTAGTCAAGTTCAAAGCTACCCGTGACACGTTAGGGTAGATTTCCACTGATGCGTTTTTGGCTCCGCACGTTAACGCACGTAAATTTTAATCACGTAAATCAAATAGAGGTAAGACATAAGTTATTGAGATTAAACGTCAAATTAAGCGAGTTTGTACTTTTACGCTTACATAATTGTACGTGCAGCCTTTCATACATTGCCTTTACTTTATTTGCGAACGCAAATTTTACGCACGTGCGCACGTAAAAATTACGTGACAGTGGATACTTCGTATCTCAAGTATTTATGAAATGCAACACGACTTCACATCGTAACAACTGCGAAAATCTATCAATTAAATACATAAAACAAAGTGAATCTATTTAACCGTACATTTCCTGTAATTGCGACAATATTCTGAGAAACGTAACGCCTTAAAAAGCCACAAAATCCTGAGGATTTCCCCGCTATAATATTTTCTCATCCTGCTTGGGGATGTGCCTGCATGTCGTGCATAATTACACGAAAATCAAGGGCCTCCATTCGAGGAAAATTACGCATTGCCAAACTTACATCCGTCATTTCAGTCATCGCCGAAAAAAAACCGCATTCTCATCACGAGACTCATTTCCATACAATGAAAGTCGTCATGATTCTTATCCCCAGTTTCCACGGTCTTCGCTAGGAACGCGGGGCCTACAAACTAGGTCCCACCGAAAAAAAAACAAAAAAAACGAGCGCATTTTAAGAGTCTCGCTCTTGCTCAAGCAAGCTCGACTAATTAGCAAACAAATAACTTTTACCCAAAAATGTAACCATATAGACCACGTCTTAACATTTTAGGTGACTGCATTCAGTCTTTCCTCCCCCTTTTGCAGCTGACAGTTATCCTACCTACAGCAGTGTAGATATGTTTACTTGTTAGTCGAGCTTAGCAGGCGTTCCTAGCAGAGACCATGGAAACTGGGGATAAGAATCGTGACGACTTTCATTGTATGCAAATGAGTCGTGATGAGCATGCAGTTTATATTTTGGCTATGACTGAAGTGAATCATGTAAGTTGATCACGTTTTTGCTGTTTGGCAATGAATCCTTGAATTGAGGTCCTTTATCTCGTTTAATTATGCACGACATGCACGCGTATTAAAATGTAAATACCCTGAGTAGGATGATTAAATATTATAGCGGGAAAATCCTGTTTTGTGGTGTATTGAGGCTTTACGTTTTTCAGAATATTGTCACAATTACTGGAACTCTACAGTTAAATAGATTCACTTTGTTGTATGTATTTAATTGGTAGAATTTCACAGTTGTTAAGATTAAGTGGCATTGCACATTATAAGTACTTGAGATATCAAGGATTTAACCTTTGACTACTACTGGAAGCAACTTCAACTACCCCCAACTGAAGTTACGTATGTGTCACGGATGTGTTTATATGAGTAGCTTTGTACTTAACTATCACGCATTCTACTTGCATCACTTCATGTGCATATCGAGCTTTTCTGGAACAGGTCGGTCCATGAATTCTATTGCTTGAAAGCGTTGATTACTTTGGAACAAGTGATTACTTCAGGGGTCGAATAAAAGGAATAATCTTAATGAGCAAAACTTCGAGGTTTCCTGAAAAAAACAGGTTTGAGGATCGGTGATCCAGGATCGAGGATCGGTTTAAAAAAAAACTTGAAAATAAATAAATTGTGGATCGGGGTGATGTGTTTCGCAGACTGTAGATAAATTTCACAGAACATAAACCTGTTCGCTGTACTGAACACTAAATTTAAGTAAGTAAACTACTCCTAGTCTGACTGAGTCAGTGATTGTGCATGTTTTGACGAGAAAGTGAAAATGAAACGCTTTATCCCAGTAACACTGTGACAAAATGCACGCTGTGTACAGCTCTAGACATTGTTCTCAGAGACTGTACGGAGATATTAAAAGCAGATACTAAGCAGTCATGGAAAATGTAATTACTTTCCCGCGATTTTGATATCTTATAAAACGGACAACAAATTCAATAGGAATACGTGCGAACTGAATTAACTGTCTGTTGTATAAGGTTCTGCTAAACTTAAAGTATATGTTACGTATCTTGGTCCGCTACAAATAAGCTTTATATATTTATACCGATAAAAATCATCGTTCAATTTTTGGAGTGTAAAATCCCCGAAAGAGTTCCCCTCAGTGGAGCAATATCAGTATGTAGACGGTTTTCAAAGCTTTCACACCGGTGTGAGGCTAAGATGTGCGGCTTGTCTCTCCTTGCAATTTTTACGTTCTGAGTATTTACGTTATGACATGTAACACTCGTTTTGTATCCCAAAGGAAAAAGTACCATAACACCAGCGCCTTGGACAACAAAACTTATATCTATGCTCTTAGTAGCATTGAGTCTTGCTTGCTTTGTTTATATTATTGTACTTCATTTTGCACTTTTATTAACAGTAATATAGTTACTCATAAATAACAAGTCAGTCACAGGTAAGTGAAAATGATCCTCCGGATGGGTGTAGTCAGCATCCTCTGTTGACTAGGCTCCTCTGCTTGGGTGATCTCAGCAATTACATTTCTGAACATCATTTACAGACAAACCATCACATTGACTAGGACTCTACAAAATGCATTACATATTCCACAGACTACTATGAATTACTTACTTTGAAGGCTGGTTTACTAACTTAAAACAAATGCCACTGAATCAAAGTCAGGCAGTTGCTGGCGGTTCTCAAATGACTTGTTCAAAATTGACGTCTAAGGTTGCGTTCAATTGGGAAATCCAGATCAAGTTTTTGAATTCCGGATCTCGGATTTTGCAATCAAACGCGTAATCCGAAAACAGATTTCACGTCCAAGAAATCCTTCCTCAGGGTGGATTTCAATGAACAAATCCACATCCAGATTTCATGGATTTCCTTTTGAGCGTTCACTTGGGAAATCCGCAAAAGGATTTGCAAAACTTAATTCTCGTGAACAGCAGTCTTCTTTCTGCTAATTATGAGACCGCTTTTCTTAAGTACAGTTTTTCAAATCCTTTTTGGGATTTCCCATTTGAACGGTTAAAAGGAAATCCAAAAACAGATATCTCAGCATTAAAATCCGTTCTCGGATTTTGCATTCGATTGCACTCTAAGAGTACCTTGAAAAACCAACAATTCGAGTAACGATAAAGACCGTTATTAGTATGCCAAGACTGATCGAAATGCACCGGCTGTAAATAATCATCACATCATTCTTCGCGGCCCCTGAAATCTTAAAGAATCTGAATTCTCTTTCAATGCCTTCCAGCCATTCCTGTCAAGCTTTTCCCAAGGCGTTCATTTCGTCAGGGATCACGAACAGCTGTGTATGGTGGTTTCTCGTCTCTGTTACAACTTGAATTGTTTGAACTGCCGCCGCTGTTTCTTCACCATTTTAAACCATTACTTTGATCCTTGTTGCCAATGTAAGGACTCTTCTTATCTTGTATAAACCAGCAAGAAAAGTGTATTTATTCAAAACCTGCGAGTATATATTATCAAGGGCTTGGGCACACTTCTGGTAGTAGAAATGAATTATACGACACGAAATATAGCACTCAATGTGACAACATTTTGCGCACGTTCTATATCCTCACTGTCCACGACTTAACACGTTGAGAAACTAAGTTATGGGAGAGAGATCCGCTCCTTGCTATTCCCTTCTGACCCTTCAAACGGACAAAGTGACACAAACGTCATATGTTCCGAAGACAGGCAATTAAACTGGTGAATTTGTCATAGAACAAAGGGACAGCCTGATGAAGTAGGAAAGGTTGCTGGGCTTGCTCCTCTCTTACAAACTTAAGATATTCTTTAACAGAAGGATGTGCCAGCGGGTTAGAAACCCATTGAAAATCACTCTAAGCTCCCCTATATGTGAATTAACAGTTCTGGCCACCAGACGCTTCAGGTTGTTGAGTGTACATGGAGTTTTTGTTTTCCCATGGCATCCTTGCTAATCAAAACTTTACAATGTCTTCTGCGGTCGCAGCAGAAACTTTCTTTGGGGGAAAAGAGAGTGTAAGAAACTCGATAGCTGAACTTCTACTGAATCCTTTTGCCGTTGATAAGGTTTGTTCCTGTATGATTCTTGGAATTCTGTAAAACACTTGTTGATCAATGGCATGTCCGCATTTGCATTGGCTCACGTGACATAGGTTTTAACCGGAAGCTTGGCAAAAGTTCGGTCATTGTTGTTTGGATAAGAGTAGGCAGGACATCTGCAGGCAGGCTTCCATAGGCGTTCCATCAATAGAGACAAGCATAAATACGCAGCTAACTAGGAGCAGATACAACGATAAGCCCACCGATCCTATTGTAAGGGCCTAGCAAAGAAATCCGGGGAGGTGTGGTGAGGGAAACGCAATACGGCCGGATCACCTTTCCTCCCAAGAAGAAAAGAATCTACTGCCATAGCTTGGAGTATTGCCCGCCAATAATGATGCGGGTGTAAATGAGGGACAATGACGGAAAAAGCGAAATGCTGGCATTGATCAAAAAAGTACCGCAACAACGGTCTCATGAGAACGAACCAAGGAAAGGCAGATGTTATGTTCCATCGGTATCGGTTAAGCAAAAACATTAACCCTTAAAAAATATGGAGTCGGCCGAGGGGAGTAATGACAAGCTTCCATTCCTCTGCGACAGTTGCTGTCCAAAGAAATCAAGTCAAACGTATGTGGTCCAAACCTCACTTGAACTCGGGCCTATGCCTCCTCGGACAAGGAACAATCAATGTCAGACAGAGTACGGGAGGGCGCGTCAGCAATATTTTTGTTCGATGGGACAAATGCAAAGCAAAGTTTCCAGCTCAAGGCATTTCTTCTATCTTTTTCAACTCCTGATTCACGAGAGAACTCTTACAACCACCATTTTCCCAGGCTGCTCGGAGAGTCATGTTCTGTCCACACATTGTTTCTTGCATTTGCGATAGAAGGGAAAAAGGAGCTCAAAGCGTTACATAAAGCCCTGGCCTCAAGGGCATTGATATCACGTTCAAGGTTGATCTCGTATTTGCTGGCTTAGACAATCTTTTACCAAGACTGCTCTCCAGGCCCTCTGGGAGGCGTTGCTGAACATTATGACAGAGAGATGATGTCCCGACCGCTAAGGTAAGTGGCCAGACCAGTTGTCTAGGGAAGTCCATTCCTGAAGTTCCTGTCACAAAGGTCTCTGAATTGGAACAGAAATCTTCGAATTCTTGGCAACAGGGCTGATAGCTTTAAACACCTCCTGTTCATACAACTTACAGGCTGGGATTGCAAGATTAAATGATAGTGCTTTTCGTGTGAAATGCTCCAAGCTCTTTAAGCGGGGAAAAGATGATCCCAAGAGTTTCTCACACGGCGCTTTAATTTTCTCCTTTTATCTAGTGGAACTAGAAAGGCTTGCAATACAGAATCGGAGATGAAACCCAGGAATTTAACAGAAGTAGACAGCTGTGGAGAACTCTTTGCAAGGTTAACAAACTATCTCGCTGAAATGAGATGAGGCTGAGTTTTTCCCCGTGGAATCTATTCTGAGATTCATTCACCAATCGCAACACCGGAAATTATGTGCGTCATGGCATTAACATTACAACCAGTCAGAGGCTGCCCCCAACATTCCGTGGAAACGGGAACGCGATTATTGTCGGCGATTCAGAGACGTCTCTTCTCCCGATTTTTTTTCTGAGGGAGAGGGGACGTCTGTACACAGGCTATAGTTCACCTATTAAACAATAAATTTTTTTTCTCCAATGACCAGCATTTAGTTGTTGTTTTCACTGCAGGATTATCTCCTCGTACCATTGCCATTCACTCACTATACTACTGACACATTTCACAAATAATTATTACATTTGAGGGTGACCTTTTATTATAAGGCAAATGCAACTGCATATTAGTCAGCAGTTATCCTCTATCAGGAGGGTCAAATGGGGTGAACACGGGATGGGACCTATGCAGCATTGGCTAACAACAGCAACCCCATTTAAATCTCAGAAGATCCTTTTTAAAGCCAGAGCACTGGGTTCAGGGAAAAGACGGTTTGACGCTAGCTGAAAGTTCAAGGAATCGAAGGCGGGCTGGTGTTGGTTGACAAGCCAATACAAGCGAACATGGATAAGTCATCTCGACGGCCAGCGCTGTGACACAGTCAAATCAAAGCCATGTGGTGTATTCTTTTAATTTTACTAGGAGTAATCGGAGCTTAGAAGAGTGCGTTCGATATGTTTGTAAGGCGTACAGGTAGCAGTTGAGGAAGAAGGGTGGATGGTTATTGCGATAGATTAAGCCCGGTTTCCATATAATCGCTGTGATCGCTGCAATCACTGAGAAAAAAAGTTCAGCGATCGCAGTGACAACGATCGCTGAGATAGAACTTTTTATATCTTAGGGATTGTTGTCGCTGCGATCGCTGGAGAGTGGTTTCATATGATTGTTATGATCGCTGCGATCGCTGAATTTTTTTTTTTTCTCAGCGACAACAGCGATCACAGCGATGGTAGCGATGATATGGAAACCGGGCTTTAATTTGATCACGGCATATTTTAAACGTAAGGATTGCTTACAGCGCAACCTCTATTTAAACTGTGTATCATTAAGAAAAAGCCTTGAAGGCTAGTTATATCGTATGGTCCGTCTCAATAAGTGTAGTAATTTGGTCGAGTGGGTTAATTTCAGTGACTTGAGTGGAGCTACTGTGGGCTGTTTATAAGTTTTTCCGAATAAATAACATAGACCTAAAATGTTCGTTTGTCCGGTGCCGAAAATATCACAAGTCATGATGAAACGGCGCCGCCGAGCTTCACATCTCGGTAGATTTACTTTGTGGCACAATGGCCGCCGAGCTACACAACTCTGTAGATTTACTTTGTGGCACAACGACCGCCGAGCTACACAACTCTGTAGATTTACTTTGTGGCACAACGACCGCCGAGCTACACAACTCTGTAGATTTACTTTGTGGCACAACGGCCGCCGAGCTACACAACTCGGTAGATTTACTTTGTGGCACAACGGCCGCCGAGCTACACAACTCGGTAGATTTACTTTGTGGCACAACGGCCGCCGAGCCACACAACTCTGTAGATTTACTTTGTGGCACAACGACCGCCGAGCTAGATTTAATTTGTTGCGTAATGGCCGCCGAGCTACACAACTCGGTAGATTTACTTTGTGGCACAACGACCGCCGAAACCTTTGAAAGATGAACGTTTTGAAAGATTCAGCCAACACAGATCGATAGTAGAGCAAACTCTTGAAATATGTACGCTTTACGAAGATTCAGCAATCGTTTAAGAGATGAACGCTTTACGAAGACAGAATACAAGACCTCAGCAAACGCTTGAATGCGCACGAATCACCCCATGATTTAGTTCGTCAAAGTGAGGCAAAACGTAAGCAAGCGCCTCAAAGCGAGGCAACTGTGTGTCGACGACGACGACAAATGCAATCTCGAAAAAACCTCCCCTATTAATTGCACGGGAAACCCAATAATGCACAGAACACCCAACACAAATTAGGGGTTGCGTTCTCGTACCTCGAACGCAATAAGGGGAGCCAACAGTGCACTGATGTGTCCCTAACGACGGCGGAGTATTTTACTGGTTGTTCCACAATACGTTATTTAGTGAGAATAATGATCAATGATCATTTGAAACCTAGAATACAACAGCTCTTATGAAAAGGAAACAAATTCAGCTTTGCTGGGCAAAAAATGGCTCGACCCTTCTTTAAAGGAGAAATGAGTCAAGTTTTCAAGCTCAAGTCAATGGAAGATTTTGACAATCTAAAAGGAACACTGGATCATGAATTAACTTTAGTTAAAACTAAGTTTATATAATTAAATAGATGATTAACTTCATAGCCCTTTTCTTATCTACCTTCTTTAATTTTTTGTATTTATGTTTAAGACATAATAATAGCTTTCTGCTTTCCATTGACTTGAGGGAAAACTTAATGCATTTGCCTTATCATAGTTACAAAGGTACTCCCTTCCGTTCATGGTCAATTTAACAACCTCTTAAGTGATTTAGATATGTCAATTATGTGCAGATTTAGCCAGAGCTAAAAGCGAAGCCCCCGTTTATCCATTCTAAATTTACTTCAGACAATGGACTCATTGCAAAGAAATCCACAAATCTATGCTTGACTTTAGGGTAAAATCATATGAAAACTTTAACAAACATGTGACCTCTATGAGTTGGCACCTGAGTCCACGATACGGTCGTGTGACTCTGGTCAGCGGATACGCTATTCTGGCAGGTGTCAATGGACCGTAATATGGATGTCTATTATCAAGTTAAACACAGGTTGCAGGCTCCCACACTAGGTACGAGATTTTGACATTTCACATTGGTTTCCCTGTAGTGCGGATGGACAGGCGGTCGGTCACGTGATTACCAAAATTTATCGGATGGAAAGATTACCAAATGTTCTTAGGTATACTACAAGCACATATTGACCCCGATTTAAATTTCTTAGAGCTCAGTGAGCGATCTAAATACTTTTTTCTTCACGGCTTTGCTGAGACTAAAAACACCCTAGCTGCCTTACTTGTCTTCCTTGTAATATAACAAGTCTTGAAGGTAATTTCGAGCGTTGCCAGCAACATGTGCTTTATGATCTGAAGATTAATTTCAGAAAACAAACTTGGCGACGGTACCTGCAGTGAATATATTCCAAGCTTGCCAAATTATTGTTTCAAATATGTGCTAACGGCTCTTGCAGCAGGAGGTGTTGGTAAGTTCATAAGCAGTGAATTACAATATAATGTACTCAAGCGTACTTCTAGCACCTCATTTCAAGCCCTTTGGATCGCAATTAATGAACCAAATAGGAAGAAAAATATTGTTGTTTGGTCTATAGACAGCACTTTACTCCTTGAGAAACAGACATATTTACCTGATTGGTGACTTCAACATTGATTGGCTTAAATTCGAAGGTTGTACTTATCACAAAAACAATTACTCCAAATAACGCAAAGCTTATCCCTTTTAGATAAGGAACTTTACTCCACTTTGTCTCTCTTCACCCAAGTGTATAAATGGGTATCGGCGACATACTGCTGGGGGATAACACCGCGATGGACTAGCATCCCGTCCAGGGGGAGTTGCAACACTCCTAGGCATGCTTCATGCTGCGAAAACCTATGTAAACTCCGGCCCTTTGGGCCTTTAAATGTAGTTTCTCAATATCTTCAAAGAGGCCTATAGAGCAGCTTCCCCAGACAGATATAAAGTACGTATTATTTGGCAGAATCATTTTATAGTAAATATCTTCAAGTTGTGTAACAGATGTATAAAGCCTATCAAATTATATGGTTCTCTCATGAAAGTTTGATGTCAGTTAATACACCTAATGATTTGGCCACTTCAGTGAAATCGAGCACTACATCTCCACACTTTACTTCCTGAAGAGGGTCACTGAACCTTTCTCTTGTTATGATCATGGTCTCGCATTTCCCTGAGTGAATCGTTAGCTTATCTATTCTACACCATTGAATGATTTCTTTGAGTAGGACGTTTAGTAGTTGAATAACTTGATCCACTGAATTGCCAATAACAAATGCAGTTGCATTGTCAGCATAAAGGTGCCGTTCTCCATTAGATTTCAGCTTTCTGCAGTCATTTATGTATATTTAAAAAAGGCAGGGACCAAGCAGTAAGCCTTGTGGGACTTCATGTGACACAAAATATGACTGAGATTTGACTCCATTCAGTTCAACAAATTGGTGACGGTTTTCCAGGTAACTGACTAGCCATTGTAACACATTTCCATAAAAGCCACAGGCTTGCATTTTGTAGAACAAAACTTCACGATCCACCAAATCAAATGCCCTGCGAAAATCTATGAAGATAACTCCAACTACATTTCCACGATCTATTTATATCTTTTAGGTCTCAGTCAGATATAGTAAAAGAGAGTCGGTAGAGACCCCCTTTCTGTATTCCCACTGATTTTTCTGAAGCACATTATTTTCAGAGGTTGTCAACTTTGTCACATATCACAGATTCTTATATGAAAGAAGAAGTTATAGACGCAACTTAAGCAGTTGCGAAAGGAAAGCCTTAAAAAAATTTAGGCTTATACTGGATTCGAACCCTTGGCCTCTGACCTCTGTGGAAGGCTGGATTCATACCAAATTCACTCAACTGAAAGGACATTGCTAACTTTTCACCAATTGTTGAAAAGAGAGTAGCGAAAACATTAGCTTTCTGCAAGTCATTAAACACCAGTTCTCCTTGGTCGTCTGCAATAGGACCAATCTGTTTCTTTGTCTTGGACTTTCCAGTTATATGCTTCACCGATTTCCAAAACTCTTTACTGCCACTATTTTCATTTTGCATTTTAGTTGAAATCTTCATTTCCTTGCTTACTTGGTTCCTGAGCTTTCTATTGTTCCAATTGTCTGCATTGTTTCAGGCTTAAGCCTTAAATAACAATTTGTATCGTTTGTTTATCATCTTTCTTATATTACTATTCATCCATGGGAGTGATTTGGCATGT